TCAGAACTTAGAATTAGTGAACATTACCCAGTAATCTAAGGAAGCCATACTGCCTAAAGTAAAACCATTTTATTTTGGACATTCAAGAAAAAGACATACCTAGTGTATATGTCTTTCCTGTCTGGTTTGCTTTAGTTGGACGAAAATGAAACTGAAGTTTCAAAATAATAACTTTACATGTATTTTTATTCTTTGACTGGATCACATTAGTATGCCATGCCATAATAAAACATATAAAGTCTGTTTGTGGAAAGGCAATTTCATGGCCTATTTGCTACATAAGAGAACTTGAAGACTTTATTGGCACATCTTGTATATGTTTTCAGGACTTAAATTATTTTATAAATATATATATGTATATATATATATATATATACATATAAAATAGTTTGGTATTCAGATATTCTATGTCATGCATGCATTATGAAGCCATAATACCAGACAAACCCAGATTTGATGTTTCTTTAATTGGCATTATTATTGAATGTACATTCATTTAAAAGTACATTTTAATTAAATACATTCATCTACATATAAGCAATAGACAAGTTTCCCATCATCTACTATTTCTTAGCATGCAAATATTAAAAATCTCAGCAAAGTTGCACAGTATTACAAACATGCTACAATTTTTTTTAAAAAAAAGAGGTCATGTTTAGAAAAATTTCATACACCAGAAAAATTCTATGCATTCTCAAAAATTTGCAGGGTGGACCAATGTTAGCTAAATGGAGGTAAAGGAGTAGAGAGTAGATTAGCACCAGTCATTTTTTGAAAGGATGTTCACTTACAAAAGATTACTCTTGAGGTTTAAGATCACTTTTAGTAGTCACATAAGGAATAACTCCAGAAATTTATTGGAAAAAGCTCTTCTTGACATTTGATCTTAGACATCAAAATATGCAGAATTTTATTGTTATTACAGTATCCATTTACATTTATAATATTCAATTACTCTTTGTATCCTTTATTGTCAATTCACAAATCTCTCTTTTTGTATACAGAATAAATAAATGCATTCTTGGTTTTTCTATTTTTCTTGTTTGGAAATAAATTTCCTTCATTTGCTTTGAATTTTTAAAATATTCTTATGACAATGTTTTTAACCCAACCTTAACCTTATGACTTCACTGAAGTATATTTCTCTTTTAAATAATATTAAATTATAATATACTGTATAATGTATCTATTAGTTTAAATATTTGGGATTTTCTGTGTTTTATACAAGCATGTAGAATGTGCAAAGTTCTCAAAGATAGGTGACTTTAAAAAAATCAATTGCCATTCTATATATACATTAGCTTAAGTTTAATTTTTAAAAAGTATCAGATATTGATTTGTTGAGTACTTCATTTTTCAAAAGCAATATATGCCCCTTTGGAAATCTAAAGTTAATCCCTAAATGTATAAATTTTTATTGTATGTTATATTTGTTTAATGATTAGTTTTAAATTAAAAAGTAGTCTGATGGCTGGGAAAATCAAGTCATATAATACCAGAATTCACTATGATTTGTTGGTGATTACTAAAGAACTCGTACATTTTTAAAAGTCCCTAAAATTCATATTAGAAATTCAAGGGAGACTGGCAGTGGCGACTCATGCCTTTAATTCCAGCCCTCAGGAGACAGAGACAAGCAGATCTCTGAGTTCGAGGCCAGCCTGGTCTTCAGAGTGACTTTCAGCATAGGCTCCAAAGCTACACAGAAAAATCTTTTCTCAAAAGTCAAACAAACAAACAAACAAACAAACAAAAAAATCCAAAAAATATAAATTGAAAATAGATTTTCGCCAGGTAATGGTGGTGCATGCCTTTAATCCCAGCTTCCAGCACTTGGAAGGCAGTGGCAGGCAGATCTCTGTGTGTTTGAGGCCAGCCTAGTCTACAAGCGCAAGTTTCAGGACAAGTTTCAAAACTACAGAGAAACCCTGTCACAAAACAAGCAAGCAAGCAAACAAAAAAAAAAAACACCAATAAACATAATTCAAAAATAAAAAAAATAGATTAAAAGAAACTCAAGGAAAAGACCTTCTCCCTGTTAAATAAGACATATTTTTAAAAATTGCCTCTGATTTTTGAGGATAAAAGTACTTACAGTTTTGATTTTACAGTATTTTACAGTATAAGAATTAGAAGGCCAGTCTTAGTGGTACATTGCTTTAATCATAACACTCTGGCGATGGAGATAGGTGGATCACTGTGAGTTCAAGACCACCCTGGTCTTTGTAGAGAGTGCTGAATCTGTTAGGGCTAGGAGAGAGTAACTTAAAGAAAGAAGTATTCAGAAATTTGGCTGAAGGTTTGAGAGATGGCTCAGTGCATAAGACCACTTGATGATCTTGTGGATGACCTGGCTTGAGTTCCCAATAGCCACATTGTGGTTCATAAACATCTGTAATTCTAGTTCCCAAGGATGCAAAGGTCTTCTCTGACCCCTATAAACACTAGGCACATATTTGATACACTACACACATGTTGAAAAGAAATTCATAAACATAGATTAAAATAAATTTATTCTTAAAAAGCAAGAATTATAAGCTTTAGTATTAGGACTGCTTCAAGAATTTTTATTTTCAGATTTGATTTTATACCTAGAGTATTTATAAATACTGATGACATGCTGAAACTATATGGGATACAATAACTCTCTTGAGTGTTTAAGAAATCATTTGTTACTGCATGTTTCAATAGAAGTAAATAATACTATTAGTGTATGAGTATTAAATAATTTCAGAAAAGCAAGTTCTATTTACTCAGGAATTGATGTGAATATGTATTTCAGCACAGAAGTAAGACTTTGTGAAGTCTGATTGGTCTTCATATAGCATGTCATTAATGTATAAAAAGTGTTGTTCTACAAATAATTTTTTGAGTTATGTCAATCATTACAGGACTTGCATGACATACTTTTCAGTCAAATTGTGAATAATCATGGAAATATGGTATGAAAAAATGATAATGATCATAGATAAAATCTTAACACTTACAGGATATTTTGATTCCAAATCATTATAATCGATATAAGTATTTTCTTTGTTCTCAATTACAAATCCATATGCTACTTAAAATCTCATTTATTTCATTAAATACTGAGAGGAGAAATAAAAAGTAACCAAATGGATGGGTGGCTCTTGTGTTATTAATGCATTCATTAATGGTTTGTGGAAAACTGCATTTTTGTAATTTAACACAATTTTATTATATATCTTAGACATTTATTGACACTTTTCTAATTGTTCTCTTAAATTAGGTGATTTGTTTCCTTGTAAGATGGTATTTAATCCATTTTTAATTTTCCAATTAAAGAAATTATTATTGCTTCCACCTGATCAAGCCAAAAATTTCACTTACATGTATTTTTTTTTCTTTTTCCTTTGTTGTTGGTGATAAATAAACAGAACTAGTTGTAAAGTTACCTGTACAAAAATTTATTCCCCTCCACCAAATTTTTATGATGATGGTGCATAATTATAAAGGAATATTACTAATTTTCTTCACCATGGACATATTTAAAATTTGTCCAAGTAACACTTTGAAAACTTAGGCAAAACAAAACTTGAATTAAATAGTCAATTTTTAACACTAACAGTAATTTTAAAAAGCACATTTTTCTCAGAAATCCTGCACTATAAACTTTATAAAACCCTTGGCAAAATTGTTGATATTTGGAAGTCTATTATGAGTACTCAAACCATAAATATAAAAATAAAAATATAATCAGATGTTTCTATTCAAAGTGAGATTGCATTTAATATATATTTTCCTCATGGTTTTCAGCTATTGAAGCTTCAATTTTTTCATATGGCTATATAGATCCTCAATATTTCTATTTTAACTGTAAATATAAATATTTAATTTTACCTGAAATTCATAAAGGTTGATCTTTAGAATACAGTAACACTTCTATTATTAGGTTGCAAAATCACACATTTTATTGTTTTTACTTTTTGGAACTCTTCCTTGATTTGTATTGAATAGACCTAAATTTTTTAAAGTATCAGGTTAAAAGTGAAGTTTTGTGCTTATAACTATGACTTGAAAATAATATTTGGGGCAGAAGTTATGTCTCAGTGAGTAAGATCACTGGCTTCTCTTCCAGAGAACCACGGTTCAATTCCTAGGACTCACAAGGCAACAGACAATTATCTATAACTTCGCTTCCAGGGGATCTTGAAATTTCAGACATATATGTAGGAAAAACCCAACTGATAAAAAATAAATAAATCTTTAAGAAATATTGTTTAAAATGTAAACAGTATATGATATATAATTGCCATTATATCTATTTGAAATTTTATGTATTTTTATAACTTCAATATTATAAATTAGGTTCATAAATCATGAAAATTATCTTTTTCTGATTTCTTCTCCATATAACTTTAGATGCATAATACATGCTGAAAGTATTCAAACATTTGACAACATATCTAACTATTGTGTGTTTAAATTCTCTAGATAATTTAATTCTTACACATTAAAGAAATTTTTTGACAAACTCATAATGTATATTTCCAGAAAAAAAAAGATGTACAGCACAGTAAATCTTACAAATTTTTAAAAATGCATAATCAAAAATATTATCCAATTTTCATATTAAGGAAATTATGAAGTTCCTAATACATATGTGTGTGTGTGTATGAAAAGTTGAATGGCGTTCAATGCAAAACAAAAATATTAAACAGTATATGTATTTTTGTACAAATGTGTGCACACCTATGAAAAAGATATAAAAGTGTATGCACATACTAAAATTGAGAATGAATTTCTTCAGAAATGTTTATAAGGTTCACAATTATGTTTAGGTATTATATTTATAATCCATAAATCAGTGATTTTCATTTTGAAAATATTAGAGTATGAATATACACACACAATTGGATATCATTTCATATAAATACCCAATTTTCATTCCAAGGTGAAAAAGTTTAAAATTGTAAAATTTTTTTATGTTCTTAATGAAAATGAAAATTCTTCTGTAAAGCAATAGAAACAAACAACTGAAAAGAGATATCAAACATGTTCCTGTGACTGGATCTATCTTATGAGTGAATTATATATTGTAAGAAAGTTATTTAAGTTTCATACAATTTGATTGGTTTTCTAATTTTCAAAGATGCTTATTCTGATGTTAAGAATTAAAATTAAAAGATTAAAGTTAGGAGAAGAGGTTATTGCAATGAAACATGGAGAATTTGTATTTTGGAAATTATATTGCACATGAAGAAGCTGCAAAACAATTTTTTTGTCCCTAATGCTTAAACAGCACGTTTTGTTTTAAACTATTTGAAGGAGCAAAGGATAATCTTTGGGAGTTAATAATGCTTACATAATGGATGGAGAATTATGACTTATTCAAAGAAAAATTTCTTCCTTAATGACACAACTATCAATCTTTGCACATGGATATAATCAAGGTTAACAATAAACAACAGGTCATTAATTTTTCAGCAGCAGTGTATAAAATTTTTAAAGGTAAAAAAAAGTTAGTGCAATATTAAATAATCTTTCTATTTTAACATAGTCTACCTGTAGGTATGAATTATATACATTTAGAAAAACAGCTATTAAGGATGGTTCTTAGAATATCATCAAATATTAAATATCCTGGAAAATATTTTTAAGTCACCATCAGATTTTGAATAGACATTTATTAATGCAACAGTTTTCTAAAAGCACCAAATGCAAAGCAAGAGCATGACATTAATAAAAGCAATTTCTAATACTTCTTCAAAGACACTTACAAATCAGTAGAATGCTCCCAATATATTTATAAAAGAAAAATAATACAAATAAATAAGAAATACTATTCATAATTTAAAATGAAAATATATATCAATTTAAGTGTTTCATATGCATTTCCCTCTCCTTTGGTGACTTCTCTAAAAAGCAAGTGGTGACTTTTCACTTTGCCAGAATCAGAAAAAAGGACAATGCTAATAATATTTTCATGGTAGTAATTGCATTAGTATTATTAAAATGAAGACAAGAATATAATCAACTGGATCACTTATGCAATTCATAAAAATTAAGAGGAATAACCTTTATTCTACAATTTACTAAGGATAAAGATTATGTAAAAATTCAGATAACTGACAATTTTATATTTGAAAATTATGTTCTTCAGTATAACGAAAAAGATATTCTCTGTACACTCGCCAAAATAAGTTTTTACACACAAAAAAAAAAACAAATCAAAACAAAACAATAATCTGTGAATTGACAGAAATAACCCCCTGCTACAAAGGCGCTCAAGCTAAGTAGGTAACAGCTAAGCCTAAACAAACTGATCATTGTGGTTCTCACCACCTGCCCCTTGCTTGGCCCAGAGTGACATTTAGTGGCTTAGAGCCTACTACACGACCATTCATCTCATCTACTGCTTTGGTAGCCTCTTCAAAGGAAGAGAAGCAAACAACACCAAATCCTTTGCCTTGTTCCACTTCCATCATCACTTTGGCTCGACTAATTGATCCAAACGAAGAAAATTCTTTCTTCAGTTTTTCATCATCGATGGTCTCATCCAGGTTCTTAATATAGATGGGCACTCCTGGAGGCCTACTTTTTTCTTTTAATTTCAGCCTTTCAAATCTCCGTCTTAACTCAGCCAAGCGTTCAATTTTTTTCTGTGCTCTCCCTACATACAGGACTTTCCCGTCTATTGACTTGCCATTCAGGTCTAGCACAGCTTTTTGGGCAGCTTCATGTGTCCCATACCTTACAAATCCAAAGCCTTTAGATTTTCCACTGGCATCTCTTATTACTTTAACACTCTCAGTTGGACCATATTCACTGAAAAGTTTCTTTAGTTTTTCATCATTCATGTCATCTCCAAAGTTTTTCACGAAAACATTGGTAAATGTTGCTCTATCCCTTGTTCTGATTTCAGCTGCTCTCTCTTCAGGAAATTTGAATCGGCCCACATACACTTGACGGTTGTTGAGCCGGACTCCATTCATGTGCCAGATAGCCCTATTGGCAGCAGCAAGGCTATCAAAGTGGACATAGGCATAACCCTTGGAGCCATTGTCATCACATACAATTTTACAGGAAAGAATGTTCCCAAAAGCAGAAAATAAATAAAACAGGGCCCTATTGTCTATGGATTTATCCAAGTTTTTGATGAATATATTTCCAACTCCAGACTTTCTTAAGCGGTCATCTGGCTGTGACCACATGAGGCGAAATGGCTTACCATTAATTAAATCAAAATTCATTGTATTCAAGGCCCACTCAGCATCCGCAGGAAAGCGGAAGTTAACATACCCATAACCCAAGGGATTGCGGGTCACCGGGTCACGGCAGATTCTAGTGAAGCGTAGAGGGCCAGCAGGTCTGAACTTCTTATAGAGCATGTCCTCTGTGACATCAGGGGCCAAGTCACCCACATACAGGGCCGCCTTGAGGTACTTCTTTTTCTTGCCAGCAGTATTAGGTTCCCCACTCCCCATATCTGAGCACTTAGAAGAAACTCTCTTGGGAGAGGGGGAGGAGGCGCCTTTCTCTAATCTAGGGGCCAAACAGAGCTGTTCTTGAACAGAAACAAGGCAAGGCAGGCGAAAGGAAGCTAAAAGAAGACTCAGATCACTGTTGAGGCTGAGGCTGAGAAAATGAAGTTCAGAAACAGCTGGTCAGCAGGCTCAGAACAAATGCATCAGACAAAAAGGCAACCCCAAAAGCAATCTGGTCTCCCTAAGAGGACTTAGAATTTTTACCCTTTCAAATTTCAAATTGCTTTCAAAAGCCTGCATTAAGAACACAATAGCCCCTTCCCGGTTATAATTAAAGACATCACCAAGGATCTGGCTGGCTCCCCACATCTAGCTTTGTCAACAGAGGCCTCGCGACTGGCTTTCTGAA